AGTAATGAGTCTGAATCTAGTGTTACTGAAGTCACATTGCCTTCCTCCCCGTTTTTCAAAGGCAAGAACAACCCTTATGCTTTCTAGTGTTGAACTCCTCAGGGGCCTCATATTCAAGTTTTATGTAGCCTTTCTGACTTATGAAGTAAGATTTGTTTTAAAACAAAATGAAAAGAAAGTGCAGAAAGGAAAAAAAAAAAACCAACCCACCATGAAAAGTCTTACACTGACTTCTGACAGATACTAAATATCTCAAGATTCACTTTAAATCTGCAAAGGTTGACAACATCACAGGGAAATGAAATCCAGGTAGCCACCAGCCATTACAACCCTGACAGGCCCTCTTAAATCACAGCAACAAAGCCAACATCTTACCTGAAGACTTCATAGTGTTAAGAAGACAGTTGCTTTCCTGGGGCACTTGCTTGAGGCTTAGAAGTGGTAGTAAGGCCCTAGGACACTTGCCTTTTGCACCCAGATGAGAGCTGCTTTGTCCTGCCAACAATTAATACAGACTCTTCAGGGTGGGAATAAGTCCACTTCTTCCATAGCAAGTTAACCCTGCTCCTGTATGGGTGCTGTGCTGCAAAAGTGAGGTCATGGATTTGCAAAATATCAGATACATGCAGGATCAAGAGATGGAAAGAAGGAGAAAAATGAACAAGGGTAGTCTTCAAGGTGAAACCCATTCCCTGTGGTGCATGTCTGGGTTGCACAAAAGAGAAGGAGAAGCAGGCTGTAAAAGAAGAATGCAAACAGCCCCAGAGCTTCCAACTGCTCTTAGGCATTTGGGGAACTTGGATTTAGTAGGAATAAAGAAATCTCCTTCCCTGCACCCAGTCAGGGGAAGAGCTTTCAGCACAGTTTTGGAATACCCATTTACACCTCATATATTTACTTCCATCAGGCAACATCTGCTCCTCACCACCTCCCTGGTGGCTTCTCCATGGGAGTCCTGGCCCCCAGAGGGGGACACAAGGATCTCAAATGGCCTGGAGACAGAATTCTGCCTGTGAGCATGATCAACATCTGGTAGTGGCATGTAAAGGGCACAATTACTTCAGAGTCAGAGATCTTGAGATTTCAGAGGTTCAAGATGACTCTGTTCTGGGCAGAAAATACCCAAGGCTGGTGTTAAGGACATATGAGAACCAGAATCAACAACTGACTGTGCAGCTGCAGTGCTCAGAACATGCTGATTCTCTGAAGAGATTTTGTGAGATGTTTTTTTCTTAAAACACCCACAGGAGACTGAGCCTAAAGTCCTGAAACTTCACCCCACTCTTCCTTTCACTGTTTCCACTTTACTTTGCTTTGTTTTTCTACCATGATAATTAACTAGCAAGGCATTTCATCTATATACAGGCTTCTATTTTGCATTTTTTTGTATATCCTTATTCCTTCCTCTTTTCCCCTATGTTTTCCCGCCCTCTTGTTTGCTTTCTTCATGTGTAATTAGGAATTGAAGTGGTGCATCTGCTGTTCGAATAAAAGCAGAGAACAGTGTAAAGTTAGGGAAATGTTTAGATTAGAAATGGCTGAAATTTGGGGTGTTTGTTTTCTGGAAGATTCCATTTGGTAGCTGGTGAGGGGTCTAGAGCACAAGTTTTATGAGGAGCGACTACAGGAGCTGGAAGTTTTTAGCCTGAGGAAAAGGAGGCTCAAGGGGAACCTTATTCCTCTCTGCAACTACCTGAAAGGAGGTTGTAGCCAAGTGGATGTTGGTCTCTCCTCCTAAGTAACAAGCAATAAGACAAAAGGAAACGGCCTCAAGTTTCCCAGGGAAGGTTGAGATTGGATATTAAGAAAAATTTCTTAATTGAAAAGGCAGGAGGTCAGGCATTGGAATGAGCTGCCCAGGGAAGTGGTGCAGTGACCATCCCTGGAGGTAATTGAAAGACATGTAGATGTGGTGCTTAGGGATGTGGTTTAGGGGTGGCCTTGGCAGTGCTGGAATAATGGTTGGACTCAATGATCTTAAGCATCTTTTTCAATGTAAATGATTCTATGATTCTGTGATTTAAAAGTACGTTGTTACTTTTTTCTGGAAATAGGCCCCTTTTTTTATCCCTGTCAGATCTTGTATAGATGAGAGTAGGAAATGCCAACATATAATATTTTGAAATGAAGAATTCACCTCAGAATGGATACCAGCTGTTGCTGAATCAGCTGAGAGCCTCGTGCATTGCCACACTGCAGCTGACGGTGTCTGTGACTCCAGGGCTGCTTTTGGGAGCTGACTGCCTTGGCACAGGTGCTCCACACTGCATGGACTAGCCAGCTCCCAGCTTTGCTGCTTTGGGATCTGGGCAGGGTGGAAAACCTGGTAGCCCCTCTCCAAGAGGCTACTTGTATGGCATAGCTGCACTAGAGATGTGAGAGGTGGAGGCACGGCCCTCCAGCAGCTTGTCAGAAAGTACAGGCGAACCCCTGTAAATTTGAAGAATCTTTTTTAAACCCTAGAGGTTTTCACCAGTTAGTTTAAAATTGATGAATCAGTATTTTTATACGAAACCAAAATTTTATCAGAAAAGTCCTGACAGATTCTAGCTGGAAGCAGTGTGACAGGATGTAGGAGCTGGAGTACTTGTGTGAGCCTACTTGAACATAGACTCAAATGTGATTCGCCCACTTGCTTCAGTGAAAAGACAACACAAGTAATTTTTGGGCACATCAGTCAGATAGCTGCATGCCACCTGAGAAGTTTAAATTGGAAACAACGTAGTGAGAACCAACAATAACCAGACTGGCCGGAGGGAAGGGATGTGAGCTGGGTAGTTCCAGAAGTGGAAGGCCAAGGAGATGAAGTTGACACATCACACAAACATGTCCTCTCTTTTCCAGCAGGTTATATGTCACAGGCAGAGACTGAGGGCACGGTTAGAGGTCAGTGAGGTAAAGCTAATGCTTTTGTCTTCCCCTTGCTGTGCTGCTCCTGACAGTCCTGTTGTTTCTAGGAAATGATTCCTTTTGAGAAGCCATTGTAGCCAAGGAAGTGGAAGACTTAAGCAGTTTGTTTTATTAAACGAGCTGGGAAAAGTATCATCCTTGTCTGTAATTTAGGTATCTTTGTGGCTATGTCTATCAGATTTTGAAAAAGACAAAGGTGATAAGATTCACATTTCAAAGTGATGGAAAGTGTGGCAGGGCCTTTGGAAGAATCTGAGACCCCCAAGACAAGCCAGGAGACTTAGCTGTACTGCTTATGTCTGGGTTAGAAGCTGCAAAAATATTTTTAAAAGGAGATGACTGCATTTGAGCCCTGGGTCTCCACAGTAGCACTGAGAAGAGAGCTCTAAATGGTGTTCCGCTGACTTGGAGACAGGGTGCTTTTATGTCACCTGAGGATTCAGCCTGCTTTGTCTCCCCTGCTTTTCTTCTTCTCTTTTCATTTTCTTTTCCATTCCCCTAGTACTTTCCCCCCTTGGCACTGAGACTCTTTTTAGTGACTCCTTTTCATGGGTGAAGGTCAGCATGTTCAAAATTGGCTGATGATATATGCTGAAGGGCCTCCCTGGAGCTCTCTTCAAAGGATCTAATTTTCAGAGGTGATGAGCAGCTCTTACTAGTTCCAATGCCATGATAAGTGCCCAAAACCCATGAAAACCAGGCTGCTTACAAATGCTCTCAGGTAACGGACCCCAAGAACAAGTCATTCGAGATTAGTGAGCAGTTTTGGAAGTTTGGTCTAGGTGTTGAAAATTTTATATTATTTGAAGGTAGCCAAGTATTTGCTTGACATAAGTACTTAGAATTGTTGAGCTGCAAGTTGAATTTTATCTGAACTATATGGCTGTGTTGTGTAAGTCAAGGAGAGATTGTAGGGAAACTTGAAGCTAACAGTCTGAACATTAATAATAGTTAGAATAGACACAGCTGTAGCTTAAATATTACTTAAAAATTAATAGATGGAGTGGACAGCCCATAGGTCATGGATATATGAACTGTAGAAAACATATTATATTGACTACAGAACTGACCAAAACCCCCACTGAAACTGATGTAAGGAGGAAGTGAAGATGAGCACAAGACAACCACTTGGCAACAAAATACCAAACCAATGAAGGGTGTGAAAACCCCAGACTCTAATAATGCTGTTGGTCCAGACTGTCACATGAGGGATGGGGAGTTTAGGTTGTAAGGGTATCCTTGTCCAGGCATTTCTTTGCTTGGGGGCCCTCTTTTGAGACACCAAGCTCGAGCTACCAAATACCATAATTGATCTCTTCCAATAAACCTACCTAATGGAGTTGATAGCCTAGTGTCAAAAATTTCTGTAGCACTAGGATTTCTTACTTTGGATGAATTCCTTTGTCTTTCTTATCTAGTAAACCCATTTTTAGTCTTCTGTTTTCCTGTTTTGCTTAAGTTTGCCACTTATGGTTTTGCTTTTCTCTGCTATGGTCTCTTCCCCTTGTCATGGTCTGAGCCCCTCTACTTGTGCTTGTCCTGTCGGTTTTCCACTACTGTTCCTGGTAATGTCCAGTGATGATGTGCTAAGGCAATTTCTCTGCTCTAGGGAGGTTTCAGGAAAATTATCTGCAGAGGTAATTTAGCCACTCTCAAGTAAAAATCAACTACTTTGCATTACAATGTATAGGAAACATATCTAAGAGCATATTTCTGTTGCAAAAGAAATAAAAGTTAGAGACGGATAAAACCATTTTTCATGAGGTGTATGGGATCATGAGACAGATACTGGTAGAAAGAAAACTTTTTATTTGGGCACTTTTGTCCCATTCTCTATGACTTGACATCAACAGCAGGACAGGTAAGGTAAGGGAGATGAAGATAGATGGAAGTAGAATTTCCAACCAGCCGCCTTCTCCCTGCTCCCCACCACCTTGGAGTACAAAATATTCATGTAATAATTAGATTACTCTTTCAGCATCACTGGGGTTCACTGTCCCCTTGGAACAGCTCTGAAAAAGACATTCTCCCTTGAGTTTTCTGCTGAATGGACTGAACACTGACCTACTATGGTTTGTTTTTTCTTACAGGAATGAAACTGTTTTACACCAGTTCTGTTGCCCAGCAGCTGACGCGGAGCAGAAGCCTTCATCTCCAGACTCCTCACCAAGGTGGGAAATTGCTGCCAGCCAGACCTTTATTTTTTCTACTTCCTTATCATCCATTACTAATCTTCTTGCCCCAGACAAAACTCACATATTATACATGCCAATCCTCCACCATCATCCGTTACGTCCCATGTCCCCAGCACTGCTGTCTGTCTCTTTTCACTCCCAGAGATTACTGTTTGTACTGTTATGTAATTGCTTGAAAACCCTCTCTGGCCTCCACTCTCACACACCCATTCACTTCCAAAAAGGTATTTTCAGCCTCTCTTCAAACATCTGCTTCCATCAATCCACATTCACACTTGTACCTTTTTTTACCCTTCTGTGTCACGGTGACACTGACATACACATGCTTCACTCTTCTCCTCCAGATTAGCTACCCCACACTATAAGGTTCCTGGACACAGTATTGATCCATAACCTCTAAGCTACAGCAAAAGTCACCAAACTCAGGGTTCTGTCTCTCACCCTGAGACAGGGTAGGGGGAGCAGTTTTACACGTGTTGAAATGGTCTGAGCTTGCCAGCAGAGAACAATTATAGACAGGTACTATTAACTATCACCAACTTGTATCCAGTCCAGCCAGGTGTGGGGACACCAGCAATTCTCGTAGCCCTCTCCCATCAGTGAGAGACGTCAGTGCCAAGAGCAAGGGGTCCAAGGAGCTTCAAAAGTACTTGAGATGCATGTACTGCATATAGCTTCTGTGCTTGGCCTTGTCCTTCTGTTCTTGCCATGTCCTTCTTTTCTCACAACTTCCCACACTTCCATCTTACAGATCATCTCCTTTTTCTCAGGCCTCATCACCATTCTGTCAACAGCAAAGAGTTTTCTCTTTAAAGATTTCTCTCATCACACTGCTAGACTTTTACATCTGACCTTTGGTAAGAAGCCTGAGTTACTAGGGAGGGCTCTGAACTGGGCAGCTGAATTGCATTAGTGAGGCTACAGCATTTTTAAAATTATATTCCTCTTGTTTGTTCTGCTCACTGGAGCAGACTGTAGTTTCTGATTTCCTTCCAAGAAAAAAATATAAGTGCTGGACAACTGTGAAGAGAACAGGGGTGAGCGGGTGGGTGTGTATCTTTGAAAGTAGAGTTCAGCCATGCTTGGAGACAGGGTAAAGAAGCAGAACCCCTCCTGCCCATCTGTGTATGAAAATGGAAGGGGTAACCCCCATGACGTCTGTGCTAAGGGCTCTCAAGCGTTGGTAAAGTTTGCATGACAGCCTGTGCACCTCCATGGCAGATGGGGGATGCTGGCAAGGAAGAGAAGGAGACAGCAGAGGAGGAGACTACAGATATTTCTGTGGTCAGCAACCTCTCCCTTGCATTTCTGGAGTGAGACAGTTTTGGTTAAGTGTTCTATTTTGTCTGAATCAAACCTCAATTTTGTCATGGTGTTCTACCTTCATACACTCGTCCTTGACCCTGCCCCATTCTTGTTGCAGCCTCCATCTTACTTCTGATCAGTTCCTTTGGTTTCTAGTATTTTCTTGTTCTACAAGGCTGACATTCTTACAGTGTTTGGCTCTAGGGTTGTTTTTGTCAAGTTCTTGGTCAGGCCTTCCTTTCATCCCGGTGATTCTCAAAGGCCCTGCTCATCCCTTGAGCCTGAGTTTGTCTGCCCTCCTACTGCTGGGATTTGACAGGTAAATTGAAGAAGAAGCAACCATTTGTTTCAGTAATTTAACAAATTTGGCAAGTGGCATCCAAAGATGAGTCTGAGCCAGGAAATTCTGAAGTGTGGATGAATGACAATGACCTCAACTGCTTGTTGCATCTGGGCTTCCAGTTAAGGGGCTTCTCATACTGATCTATGCCTGTCCATTTTATGCCTTTTGTAACTTGTCCCACTCTGCAGGCCTCATGCTTTCCTTACTTTTTTCCCAGGACTTTCTTGTGTCCTCTCCATTTCTAATGCCTCCAGACTCCAATAGGAGTCCTGAATTTGTGTGTGACACAATACACTGTGCAGACATAAAAAAGATTAAAACCACCATGGCTATTTGAAAGTGAAAAACAGACACACAGAATTTTTTGCTCTTTGAAACAGAGCAGCTTTTATGTGTGATCTCCCTGCCTGACCATCTCAGGAGAAAAGAGCATCACTACTTCCTACACTGTGCCAGAAGAAAAGCAGAGCACATGCAGCACTGTTAAACTCACCAGTCAGCTTTATGCTGGCCAGAAAACATCTTCTAGTCTCTGCCAGGTCCTGCAGTCAGCCATGGGCTTCTTTCATGTCTGAAGTTACATATACACTGCAGTGAGGAAGGCAAAAGAATGGCAGGGAGGGAAAAACTCAGGATCACTGTGGAGCTGATGTCCATGTGGTGTTCTGAAATGGCTCACTATGCTGCTTGGAGAAGCTCATCAGATTATTTACAGAGCCTGCCACCCTGCTCACATCATGAACAAGCTCCCCATGGAACCAAGGCAGAACAAAAGTCAATCAAGACTGAAATATGTGGGTCAGACAGCCTGAATAGGCAATCAGTTCCTGGGTGAGCCAAGCATATCCCTAAATAAGCTCATCAGGTCTCCTGATGGGAATACCTGGTACATAGGGGCTCCCTGTGCAGCTTTTCTGTGTCCCACTGAATGGACAGCCAGTCACAAGTGGTGCTGTGGTGAATTTTGATAAACCAGCTTGGGTTTATTCTTTCTTTCCCCCTTCCATGATAGTTTCCCTAAATGAGATAAATCCTGTCAAAACTGATGCCACTAATAACCATCAACCATCTAGTTTTAATTAGAGTTTGCTTCATTAATGCCCCAACTCCTCTCTGCGCAGCAGATTAAATAATGTACTTGCAGCTCATTTACACAAACCCCCAAACTGCAAGGCTGAGCTGCAATCCTTTAATTAAACAGCCCGGCTGATCCCTGCCGCTGCCTCGGCTCATCAGTCTAAGCCGATTAAAGAGAATAGGGACTAATAAAGAGCATAAACAGGGAAGTGACTCTCATCTCTTCAAGGGACTTGGAGGCTCCAGCAGTGATCGGCTGCTTTCTCCTCCTCTACCTCAGCCCACATCCCGTCCTTCTGGGACCTGCAAGAATGGTCCTGCTTTCAGTAGGAACCCAGCCTCGTCTTGTGGGACAGGAATCCTTTGGGAGGCTGAGGGAAGATGGCCAGCAGGAGGGTGGCACAGCAGGCAAGGTGAAGATAAAAAGGGACATCAAAGCAGTAAGACGAGTGAGTGCCTGACTGCAGGAGAGACCAGCAAGAGCAGCCATGCAGCTCAAGTGAGGGGCAGAAGAGGAAGGAAATGCAGGGAATGACAGTAGGAGGTTGGCTGCCAGGAACAATCTGGGACAAAAATTTGTCTCTGCTTGTAGTTTGTGATGGTCACTGTCGTTCTCGTGTGGTCTTCCCTAATGTTTGTCTGCAAGATTTCTGACTCTTTCTTTGCTAGCAATCTAGCTAAAAATGCCTCGGCTTCACATGGATGGGAATGATTAGGAACATGTCAGTGTCTAACCACTCAACAGAAGCCAGCTCAATGAGGTGATTGGGATTATTCCCACTCATATTGTTCTGCTTTGCTTCACTGATTGCCACAAGCAGAGCTAGCCCCCTTCTCTCCTGCAGCATGTGAATTCCTCGTGGGGAAGTTACAGCTCCATGAGTTTAGCAATGCAAATTTCCCACCTGGCTGCTTAGCTGGGTTGCACCAGCAATTAGCAAGACTGGTGCTGTAGGCCATGAATATTGAGACAGATTTGATCCCAGATTCTGCCAAGAAGCTCAGAGCCAAAGTACAAGATGAGGTGATGGCAGCAGAAGGCAGATTCCTGTTGCTGAACTCTAAGGGCTTTCCCCTTTCAAAGTGCAGTATAAATCCTGTATATGGACCACCATTGTCTCCAATGGACTTGTACACTACTGGCTTCATGACCATAAGCCATCTTGCAGGTTGGGTTTCCATTGAGTATGCCAAAGATCAGGAAGAAACTCCATGGATGGCAGTAGGAGCTAACTCTGCTCCTTTACTGAGGTGCTGATTAGACTCTGATTTAGCCAAACCCTGTAATTTCATAAAGCAACTGCTCTTTTTCTTGCTGGCTTCTGCCTGTTAACAGTGGGGTTTCATTCTGGGGATTTGAATAGCCTAGTAATTGCATTTCCAACCTCTCCCAGTCTCACACAGCAGAGACTGGCATCCCAGAACAATGACCTTAAAATGTGTCCAGCAGCAGCCCAGCTCTAACAGGATTACATACCATTTTCCTTTGTGTGAGGTAATAGGGCTGAGATGAGAAAGATTTGTTTCTATTAGAGTAATGAGAGGAAATGATGGAGTCACAATTGGAGGGAACAGTATATTCATTCAGTTGCCTTTCACAGGCTTTTCGGAGCCTGCCTCTGGCTCCCCTGTGGTGCTGAATAGGAAATCATCAGAAAATCACCTCTCCTCCAGCAACGGGAAAAGTTCTACACAAAACTTTAAGCGCATGGGGCAGGTCCACTTCGGCAATGGACATGGGATAGCACTGGAGTGCTGAAGCATCATGTCACAAGGGAGACTGGATGGGATCTGGGTACGTTTCTGTAAAGGGCAGGATCAAATCCCAGAATAAATCTTCAGGAAGGGAGGATGTTCCACTGCATTTGTGGGAAAGTCCTTACTATCTGTAAGAAGTGCAGATGAGGCCTGACCTGCTTTTAAGGTAAAGGAACCAGAGTCCTTCCAGGAAGAGGGAGCAGTCTTCTAGAAGGGCTTGGAGGTGTACTGAGCAGAAGAGCTAGGGTCTGAAACATCTATGAAAAAGTTGGGCAAGCTCTGTTCATACTTTCCTGTAATATTTCCACACTTTTGAGTAGGGAGACTGCTGCTTAGATCAGGGTTAAAACATGATTAGTGCAACTGGTGAAGTGTTTACTTCATGATTACAGACCAGTGAAATTGTAACTCAATATAGTTGAGACTTCAGACAGCTGTGGACTCATTTCTAAAGTGCCTGCTGGATTAGTCATTGTAGCAGGTTGGTTGCTTCCAGGCATCACAGCACGAGGTAGTGGTAAAGAGACCTGTGAACCATCAGCTACATCTCCAAGCCAGCCTTCCTTGCAGTTCTGGTGAAATTCCTTCTTGCCCCACTTGTTACTTATCAAAGTACTGAAATGAAAATACAGGTTCTTACTGGAAGAGGTCCTTTGTGCTTGTTGCTCCATTTGTATATGTGGGAGGCTGATAAGTAGATGAACAGATTTTGGACGGTTCTTTCAAATCAAACCTTCAAACATCTTTCTTCCCAGCTCTCTGAGCTGCATAGGAGTATGCTACCCCTTAAGCAGCACATGTTTAAAAACCAAAATCTGATTTCATTTACCTCTGGAGATCTGCTCTCTCTGATTCTTCCCATTTCTTTACCTGAACTCTGTTTCCATTGAACATGCATTTGTTCTTTGTCCTATGAAGTCATGTTGGAAGGCGTTGGCACAAAAGAGCCATGAACTATCCACTGCACAGTCACAACATCATGTCCTTCTTTGGCTCCCCACTGCTGTAGCCCAGGAGCATCTCTCCTCCCAGCACAGTTCTCACTTTGCCCTTGGATCACTCTACGTCCTCTAACAGTTAGATCCTCCTGAGAAATCCCCAAGACTTTGTTTAGGTTGTGAATGAGATGTCCCTTAAGGCTGAAGCCCATGAAGTTGTTGAGAACTGAACCACTCACCAAGTGAATTTTCCTTCTGGACACTACTGAAGCACCTTGATAAACAGTGGGGAATGATGGTTTTCCACCAGTGTCCATCACTCTTTAAGCATTACAGTAAAACAACTGAGCTACTAAACATTTTGTCTGAACTTGTAAAAGATTGCCTCACAGAAAGAATGCAAATCCAGCTCACGAAATGGGAAATTAGCATTTCTGACTTAGGATCACTGGCAGGATGTTGGATATAAAATCGGGAGGTCAGTGCTTCCTTTCATCTCAGAGCTACTCAGTGGCTCTGTCTCAGGTGTGAAACATGATGCTGATTCTAGTCTATATCAATTCAGATCTATAACCTTCCACTTAAAAAAGCATAACAACTCTGCCTAATTGCCCCCCAGCTGGCAGTGTCAAGTGGATGCTCCTACAATTAGTGGACAATGGAGACTGAGTTCTTCTCTGATTCTTAACGGACAACACTCCAGGTCAATCTTAACAGGACGTGGACATGCCAGTGCAAAGCAAGCCTCCACACCCATGGTCTATATCTTGTGTCCTCTGAGGACAAATGACAGTACACAAAGCTCTTCAGTCTGACTTCTTGCATTCCTGCCAAAGTCCTCCACACCACTGGTTTTGAAAACACACAGAAGTTTGAGCAACATTTCTGCTTTGCTTGCACATCCTGTTTGTGCTTCTCATTTCTTTTCCTTATTGAGGTCACAGTCATGAAGAGAAGATTTTTTTTCTGCTTCTTAACAGCTCATCTACTTCTTATTCTTCCCTCCCTGTAGACTTAATAATCTTGTTCCAGAGAGTATGATTGGAGGTTGCAGGGATGCTGCAGACAGGCAGGGATGGGTCAGCAAAGTTCACATAAATATTCCCCCGGCTCACAGTTTTCAGAGTTTGGATTTTAGTCTGACACAAAGACGTGGGCAAGGAGTAATGTCTAGACCCAGATTTGAACTCTTCCTAAGCTAGGGAGTGAGTAGATTCCTTACTTTTTATGGGTGTTTTGTACAGTGAGGACTAGCAACTTTAATTGCTTTGCAGGAGCCTAGGTCCAGAATCACAAAGATGTTTAGTGAATGTAGATTTAGGGCAAATATGGAAACACTTAGAATTATAAGCAAAAAATATTTTAGAGAACATCCTTAACATCATAGTTACCAACAACCTTGGGAATCTCTTGCAGGGAGGTATAGTTGGCAATTCTTCTGGTACTATGACCTGGGAGGAATGGCTCTTTCTGGAAGCACCCAAAGAAACAGGAGGTCAGTTTCAGATGCAGCGTCTCAGTCCCGTAAAGGAGATCCACCAGGACATTTTGGCACTATCTTCCACACAGACATTTCTCAGCTCCTCTCCAACAGCTGGTGCAGCCACTCTCAGGCAAGTGTGGAGAACATGAGGGTGGGGAAGTAAAGTAAGGAATAGATGGGCTCTTCAATAGGAAAAAAAATATTTCTGGTGGAATCTGGAGTCTCCCTGTCACGTTGGTTTCTTTGTTTGCCCCTATCAACACCTTTCTTCAGGAAAGCGGAAGATGCCAGGAGAGAGAGGCCAAAAAAAACCATATTTGAAGTATCTTATTTTGAAACTGCAAAGGTGCCCATCAGACACATGTTTTCTGAGAGCCTGAAGCTGTACACAGCCATTGCCTAGCCACAGGTTCTTCCAGTCCTTCCTTTTCCCCAGTTGCTTCTGTTGCTTACCTGAGTCCTGCTCTAGAGGAATTTGGACTTGGATTCAAGTACTCTTCTTCCACATGTGACAGTGCTTGCTATTTCTTGGGCCATGGTAATATCTGTGAAAGAGGATCAATCATAGCCAGCCTTACAGTTGTGGAAGCCACTTTCAACAGTTGTTGAGATCAGTTAATCAGTTAGTTGCACTAATACCAGACAATTCATTCTTGGCTTGCAGATGATCCTCATGTTCTCTCTCCCCTATATTGTGGAGAATTCCTTGCCTGTAACATGGCAACTTTTTGGTACTGGGGGAATGCAACATAAATGCCTGCTGTATCCTGTGTTTTCTGTGTGCTAATGCCACAGAGATGCAAGAGAAGAGGCTATGCCAGCCTTGGAAATATTCCTGTATCTAGCACTGAAAAGCGAGCACAGACGGTTGATAAAATAATAGCAGATGGACTGTGGTGGAGCTCACACCATTCATCCTAATCCTCTACTAATATCATCTGACCTGATCTGCATCAGTCAAGACGTACCCACCCCCAAAATTGAGCCATTCCTGACCTTTTGTACACTATGGTGTGGTTCTGTGGAACTTGACAGGTGGTTTTTGTAGACCCTCTGTCCACAGGCTTATTAATGGCTTGTAAGGCAGAGATAGATAGGGCAAAGAGATGAAAAAAAGGAGCCAATGAGAAAGAAAGGGAGACAGACAAATGTAACAGTGCTACTGTAAGAAAAATGAATGGCAAACATGCTATACAGAGAAGAATGACAGGAGAGAAGGAGCAGGAAAAGCAGGAAGATAAAAAAATAGTGTAAATGAAAGAAGAAACTGGAGGGAACAAGAGCATATGAGCAGGAGATAAATGAGCAGGTCCCTTGGCTGGAATAGTCCTGTTCATGCCAGCATTCTTTGGCAGTGACAGCAATGAGGCTGTGGCCTTTTATTACACATTTTCTTGTAGTGTGATCTCAATCCAAAGGCCTTTTGTCTCTTTTGTGCTCTGCAACACTAACTCACTCCTATGAAGGTTCATCTTCTGACCACCCCCATGGGACAGGCTCTGTTCTCAAATACAATAAGCTCTCCTTTTGAAAAATCATCTCTGCACCAGAATTTCTTCTTCTGCATGTGGCCCTGGCAGGCTTTCATACGTTTCAGGAAGAACTGAAGAATCTGAGATGCTGAAGTGGAGCACACTGTACAGCTGCTCAAGCCACTCTGGGTTCTGAAAATATCTAGATAGGTGAGGGAGTGGGTGTAAAAAAGTTGGGACATTTTTGGGACTGTCATCTTGCTTGTTCAAGGCATAAACAGGACCTGAGTTCAGTGAGATTTTTCTTTTGAGACTGAAGTGCCGAACTCTGGCCACGCCACTTGGAAGTGTGTTCTAGTAATTTTTAACCATCTCTGGCTGGCACCTTGGTTCGTCAGCGCATAGATTGTCCCATCATCCCACTGGGAATTGTATTTGTGTAGTGATTAGAGCTGTATGTCACCTTTGTGATGCCCCAAACTGATTATGTTGCTGCTTTCCTCTGAACAGGTCATGATGCTGTTATTATTGCCTAGGTTGACTGCAATCTCTTTCATTCCATCTTTTGGAGAAAGAGGGAAGACGAGGATAGGCTACCCTATGTACACACTGCTGGTACTCTTTTGCATGTCTTTCAGGGTGACTGACAAAATATAACAGATGCCTGTAGTTTCATAAATACACTAATGTGAGAGTGGTGGGTCAAGATGCACAAAACTGGATGACGTAGAATGATGTTGTGAGAAGTGTTGCTGTGCTGTTACAGCACAACTGGATCTGATAAGGATGTTACAGATTGTCTTAAAATAGAGCATATTGGGCTGAATCCTTCACTGACTTTGGTGCAATCCACTGGCATAAAGCCATTTAGCACCAGCCAGAGTACTGCTCAACCACACAGTAGGATTGGTTTCGTCTAGGAAAACTCCAGTTTTTCTTAATGATCTTGCTCCAAAAGCTCCATGTCTGAGTATGGAGAAAAAAGGTGGGAATAATTTTCATTCCTCATAGGTAAGTGAATTTTAAGTACCATAGGGGAATATGAGCTTGCATGACCAAATATGTAAGCTGCTAAGTCATTCTGTTTTCCAAATGGGAGTGAGGAAAGATGGAAAAAGGAATGAAGCCTAGGGGAAGAGAAGTGATGTGAAGTGGATCAGAGCGTTAGTGAAGCAGCAGTGACAAAATAGGTTAAAACCTGGAAAAGTAGAGCTTTGTGCCTACTGCGTAAGGCTGTGGGGGTGGTCACTGGATTGGGAAAAGGAGGAAGGAATGCTAGCCTTGCTGTTTCTATTTTGGTCTTCAGCCAACACAAACCCCTAGATCTGAACACAGTGGCAAAGTTAAAACCTGAATCATATCCGATTTCCTAAAGCTGGTAAATGGCGTTTGGACTGTCTGTATTGAGCAGGATGGTGATTTGAAGCTGTGTTACTCTGTTGAGGAGAACCGGGTTTCCTTCTGCTTGGTTTGGCACAAGCAGTGTCCTTCTACTGGGCTGCAGTGATTGCAAGAGATGAAACAGCCAAGATACTTGAGAATAGAAATAAAATTTTTCTGAGTCACAAGAAGATATTCCTGTGAAATGGCTCACTCAACTGCCTTCAGAAATCAATTACCCTGATCCCTTAGGAGGGAACCCAGAGGTGCAGTCCAACGTAGGGTCCATCACAACAGGTGGAAAAAGAAGACCACAGAAGCCCTTGCCTTGGTTTATAAATGCCAAGAGCTGTGTCCCTCACCCAGCTCATAGGCAGCCGAATTAGGAGAGCAATGGGCTGAGGGGACATGCAAGGTTTCCTTTCCTTGTAGAGACTCTGCTGCCTCCCAGCCCTGAATTCATCTCATTTTAGCAGTGAAATTCTATCTTCTGCATGATTGCACTGGCAGGCTTTTGTCAGCGAATTTGGTGATGTTCAAACCTGCCTCGGGGATGAGGAGCCAAGAGATCTGAGTTGAAGTGGCAGAAAGACTGCTGCTGAGAAGCCAAGTTTCTCTTTCCCGGGGTGCTGAGCGGGCGGTTACACTAATGTAGGATGCCATCTGTTTTTTCCTTCTCTAAAAGGTCGTGTTTACCAAACATTGGAGAGGCAAGAGAGGTCCAGGGTTAAAGTAAAAGTAATTAAACCCTGAGAGCAGGGCCTCCCATGCCTTCAGTATCCACTTGGTGCTTTTCACACCTCAGTGATAAGCACAGGTGCCCCGTTTGAAGCAGCCACAGGTAACCCTCTCTGCAGTGACAGGCTGTGGGACCTCCTTGTCTAACCTGCAGAGACAGCACAGAACCACCCTGGGGTGTCAAGCCCCGAGATGTGACAGGCAGCTCAGAAAGGGGCTCTACTTCCTAAGCTGAGCCCTGTGCTCCTGCAGCTGGAGAAACAGGAGTCGTGGCTAGGAAGGGAAGAGGAAAGAGGGATATGCCAGAGGGGTGGCCAAAGTGCCATTATGAGATGTCACCCAGACACACACAGGAACTATAAGAAAAAAGCTGTGACAACCACACCACGCAGCACAGCCAACCTTGCACAATGAACACCACTTTTCATTTAGTGAGAGCTGCCTTAGCTCTTCCAAGTTACCCCCTGGAAGAGCCTGTCTTTCCCCATGAAAAAGAGAGATCCTAGTCCTCTGGTGGCTGAAGTCCCTCATGGAGAGCCAGGCCCTCAACAAGCAGCCAGCCCAGTCTGACACCTGGACAATCATCTTTGCGCCATAAGGGTATGGGGTGCTTCAGAAAAATTTAATTCCTATAGTGCTGTTCTGTACCAAAAGGCACAGCAACACAACAATGTGGGAATTACAACAGCACATGGGGATCAAGTTGAAATACGAAATCTGAAATGAAGGCCCTGACATTGGCAGGTCGGTCCCTGTGGGACAGGAGGCATTTGATAGTATTATTACATTATCTGTCTGCTTAATGTACATCTCACCAAAACCACTTTAAGCAATGTTGAAAAGATGTTGCCTGGTTCAGTCTGTGCTAAAGGATGTTAAATTTAATTGATTTCCAATGTATTTACTGTACCCTACTGTCAAATCTATTTTACAGGTGTGTGTGCTAGCCTTTTTATGAAACAGATTATATATTCTGAGATAGGTAATGAGCTCAGTTAATTATCATTAAATCCTCTTGGGTAAAACTAGTGTGAGAAGATGGCTTGATGCCACTGCTTTGCAAGGTGTTATGTGAATGTAGACAAAATCAGAATCTTGTTCCTATATTTGTCTTTGTTGGAGGAGACTGTCTGAGAAAGCTGCAGCTCGGCTGGCAGGGGATGATTTGCCAAGATCAAATTCCAAGTTCCCTGCCTCTCTGGCAGGAGAGACTTTTGCCTTCCATCAGTTTCAGCATGCTCCCAGGGAGCATTGCCTTCAAGTCACCCTAAAACCTGAACTTAAAAGCAAATCAGAAGCAATTCTTTTGCACTCAGACACCCTGCACGTCAGAAATCTCTGAACCTTGAAAAGATCCTATAATATATTACCAAGCCTGTCTCAGCCATTTTTTTTCATTGAATTCTGATGAACCCATTCACCCATATGTCATGGGTGTCCTCAGGGAACACTGAAATGGTATAAACTGAGAAGGCACTTTGGACCCTGCTAAGTCAGCAGTTGATTTATTTTTTTTCCTGAATAGTTAAGCTCAGGAAAG